TGACAGTTGGTTGGTGGCAATTGGTTGGTGGCAATTGGTTGGTGACAACTGGTTGGTGGCAATTGGTTGGTGACAATTGGTGGGTAGCAATTGGTGGGTGGCAATTGGTTGGTGGCAGTTGGTTGGTGGCAATTGCTTGGCGACAATTGGTTGGTGGCAGTTGGTTGGTGACAATTGGTTGGTGGCAATTGGTTTGTGACAAGCGGGAGGCGGGAGGGGGAGGAGGAGGAGGGAACGGATCCAACACTAAAAACAACACCCCACACGTCAATGTGGGGAAACAACATTCAACATGTAGCAAATGCACTGCCGTGGGCATGGTTTCTGGACCTTTTTTGTTGTAGTACAGTTAGGATGATCTTCGCTGTGCCATGGGAACTCCTACTTTCTGATGTGACTCTGTTGGTGGCCGGTGTCCATGGGGGGATGTGACTATCAGACAATGATGTGACTTACGCCTCTTAAGCTGACCGCAGTAAGTCTTGAAATGGTGTGCCCATGCAGTTTGGGTTCTGGACAGGGTTGTTTGCATAGATGTCTCGATGTCCTGCAAAAGTTCTTGACCAATGTTTTGCCACAGAGGTGGAGTTTGCATTTTTCAGAGGGACAAGGGAGATTGCGATGGCTATACAGAGGAGGCATAAGTCTGATTTGATTGATTCTGCACGTTTTGAAGGTTTTGTCACTTGCAAGGGGAGTATGGCATTCAGGTGATCCTTCGAGAGATTCGAGAGGTCACAGAACAGGAGAACAAAATCAACATCACTATACGAAGCTCCGGACTGGTTGTGGCCAGGACATCCAAGGTCACTTGCAACTGGTACCAGAGGGTGCACAGGACTTCCTCAGGCCTTGTGACTTCTGCAATTTCTTCAATTTCGTCCGTTTCAAGCAGGCGTCTATTGGTAAAGGATCCAAGCGCCCGTTGTTCTGCTGAACAAGCGCTGCAGGAGAAAGAATGACTTGATTCGAGGATGGATTCTTCTAGATTGAGTCAGCAACTTCTGCGTGCCCAGGACCAATACCTGATTGAAGGGCGAGCGCATTTCCGGCAGCAGCCAGACGCGCTTGCAGTAGGGGAGGCACAGCACCCCAAATCAAACCTGCAGAGACTTTGGACCTTTCTTTTTGAGAACCTGCTCGTTCTCCTCAACTTTGAGCCTGCCAAGCTTGTCAGGTCCTATTGCGGTTTCGTGCATATGGATCGAGCTCAGCCACAACAAGGGCTTCGATGCTTGCAATGGCATCTCTCTCATGTCACGCAGTGTGAGCCTGCGACACTGGTTGGGTATCACCTGAGTGCCAGGCTCGTGCTCCAACACGCTTGCCCTGGAAGGAGTTTTGCGCCCTCCGCCTTGGCCCAAGTCATTCGCATTGTTTTGGGATGTGAGGAACGTGAGGCCTACTCAAAGCGAACCAACTCACTTTGCAACTCAAAGCTTTGCAAACTGGAGGGGCAACCTTCGACCTTTTTGATGCTGTAAAGCTCACCGGGAGCATTGACCTGGAGGCGAGGTGTTGGCACTGAGTGAAGATTCGAGTGACTAGAAACCAACGAGGTCCGTGAGCAGTTTGCGCCCTTTCGTCATGAGGCATTTCTGTCTGTGGTCACTTCAGAGGATGGCTTCCCATCCGCAAGGACCAGCTATCAAACTGCACCAAAAAATTCAACAATTCACTACCTCTAAGCCAAATGATCCACATGGATATTGAAAGGCTAGAAGCCTTAGCCATTTGGAAGGTGGGCTTTTGTTTTGTGTCGCTCTCATGTGTTTTGGACAGTCTATATATATACTTGTTTGAGGCCGTTTGCGGAGCAGAGGAATCTCTCAGCTATTGTGAGTTTTTGGCAGTGCCTCGGTAGCAAAGCGACTTTCCCGAATCTGGCCACGGTGTTGTTTTGAGGCACTAATCCCTCCCATTGACGACGCCTTCGAAGATGTAAGCCGGGAGGCTTGCAGAGATTTCAAGAAAAAGTGGAACTGGATTGAAGTATATGAGTTGACACGTGTTCGGAGTGATTGAAGGTGGAAGGTGAAGATATGTTGCCAAGCACAGATCAGAAAATGTTCTGCACTCAGATTGCGCATCATGGAAATATATTTACATCTCTTCAACAGTTCCCTTGTTGATCCACTAAGCAAGGATACTGAGTGCTATGATGGGGGTTGAAAGTTGCCGTGAAGTTCTGCATGCTGAAGAATGGTGAAAGAATCATGTAATCAAGACAGTCGCCAAACAATGCTCGTTTCAGACCTTTGATGATAGGTGGGACTTGAATCAGCCTATTGCTGCTTTCCTTCCGTTGTTGGACACACGCCACCTCAAGGACCAGCCCGAAAGACTCAACAGAGAACTGAGAGTTGTGAGTTGAGAGAATACAGTCATCCCAAAGGCATTCAGAGACGACCATG